CTTGCCGTCGTCTGGCCAGGCCAGTGTTCATTCAGGTCAGAAGGTTTCAGTTCTCTTGCGAGTCAAGGCAGAACGCTCCTTTCCCAGACCCTTTTTCGCAACGTCGACCCTCAGAGGTCTGGACCCCTTCCCTGGGACCGGCTTCTCGTCCCGGGTCGTTTTTTGGCGGCCCCGAGGCCCGGGAAGGGCTCCCGGAGGCCGAGAATAGCGAAAAACCCTCCGTCCTGCTTTTGTTTCCTCTTTCACAGCGCGAGGAGGTCTGGGTTCGCCCCCCATGTGTGTGTGTGTGTGTGTGTGTGTGTGTGTGTGTGTGTGTGTCGGGGGAGACGTCGGCAAGACACCCCGGCCGAGGCAGGAGAGGCGCCCAATTGTGCATCGCAGGGGGGGCGGCGCGGCGCCCCGCCCCCTGCGGACGGGCGCGGCGCGGAGCAGCTCGTCGGGAGGGCGTCCAGGAGGCCGTGCTCCGAGCAGGGACCGACCGTCGCGGCATTCTTCATAGGCCTACCACGATATGTTCTCAGAGCCCCACACGTGTTCCAAGGACAAGAGCCGTGTTCTCAGAACAGGAGCCCGGCGTGTGAAAACAGGACGGTCTCGGCCAGAGGTGTTCTTAGAACATTTCGTGCAGACCACGAAAGGTTCTTAGAACATTCTTTGGTGGGCCCATGGGCGAGCCAGGACGCTTCGCCCCTGCTTGAATGCTCGGGTTGGGGGCAAGCATCCCAGACCCCCAGCACGAGCGTTAGCGTTACCGGGGGCGGGCGGGTAACGAAGACCCCCCTTTGGGAGGGGACAGCAACGTTCACTTCCTGTTCTTCCAACGAAGACCACCCCTGGGAGAGGGGACAGCAACGTTCACTCCTCGCCTTCCCTCGCTCGGCCTTCGATCCGCCCCCGCCGCCAAACACGACCCTGGAACGACGGCGGCCCGCGCGAGCGCCCAGAGACCCCGCTGGGGCCGACCCTGGCCGCGGGCCGCAGGCCGAGGGCCGGCGAGAGCGCAGCGGCGGGGCCGGGCAGGGGCGCCGAGAGGCAGGCGGCGGTCGCCGCTGGGACGCGGCCGGTCGCCGCGGCGGCGAGGGCCCACAGCGAGAGGCCTCCTATACACATATAGCTGGGGTCCGAGCGGACCCGGACCCCCTCGCGCCGTGCAAGGAGCACAAAGAGAGGCCTTTCGTGCTAGTTTCGGGGTCCGCGGGCCCTTCCCGGGCCTCGGGGCCGTCCAAAAACGACTCGGGGAGGAGGAGCCGGTCCCCGGGGAAAGGGTCGAGACCTTTTGGGGGTCGACGTTGCGAAAAGATCGCGACGCCGGGGGGCTGGGTCCGGGCTGGGAGCAAGCATGCATCTTTCTTTCTCCGACGCCCGTGCGAGCAGGCCAGGGGTGCAGTGCGGATCCTTCCGCACCTGGTCCGGGAGGGATCGAGCGCACTCGTTCTCTCCCACGTCCGCGCTGGCGAGCTGGCCCCTGGCCACGCCTCTTGCTGGGTTGCGGGTGTGCTGCCGGGCCACCGGCCACCCTCGCGCACTCAAAAGGTCGCGGTGGGCTCTGCAGCCCGGGTGGGAGGAAGGATGGTCCAGGGAGCTCTGCTGGTCGCGTCTGTATTTGTGGAGTGTGCTTAGGGTTCGGGCCTGGACAGAGCCTGTGGGCACAGTACCTTCCAGTGCACAACTACTCTACCGTCGAGATGCGAGGAGGCGTCCCGCCCAAGGCATTGGTCAATTCAAGTAGTAATCCTACCCAAGAAGAGGCTGCTGCAAGGATGAAGTTCCAACTTCCAAGAAGAAGGAGAGAGGAGGGCGGAGGACGTCAGTGGAGATCACACTGTGCCAGCGGCCAGGAGCTCCATGCGAGAACCAGTAGCATGGCTAGATCTACTTTGCACAGGGCCTCCTCCAGCAAGCATTATAAAGTGGCTGCTGAATGGTTCCCAGGGCTGGGCATCAACCAGTCAACCACGAAGGGCACCTGCCCCCCCAAACTCCACTCCCGATCACTGCAAGCCCACAATCTGGACGCTTGATGCTGGGAGCAAGCGCGCAAGCCTGCAGGTAGCCGATGGCTTCAAGGGCAGGGTGTGAGCAGACCAGCATCGTTGAGTGGCTTCTGGTGCGCACAGGCCCTCACGTGCCATCGGAGCCGGAGGCCCACTTGGGCACACTGGCCTGATTCGCAAGGTCAGGCATGCGGCATGACGTTACCCTAGACAGAGAAATCGAGGTCGCAGAGAGTCCGAACGGACAGCTGTTCAGGAGCTGGTAGGGGTGGGCGAATATATAGGATCGACAGCGAAATCATAATATAGTAATAATTCAGACGAGAGAGATCCAAGCTTGAGGTCCTCCCGTTTCGACCTCTTGTTCTCTGGACGCCAGAAACAATACTGAGGATTCGAGCTGTCTCGCGACTGCAAGCAGAAGAGGAACATCGCCGACCGTTTCGTGAAGTGGCCTCCAGCGTGCAAAGACTGGCTTCTCAGCTGGCCCCACGCACTGCTGGTTTAATGCTTAGATTCCTGCCCTGAGGCCCCGTGGTGTGCTGGCGGATGGTGCCCTGTCCGCTCCTCCGGCCTGTCCAGTAGCCCTCGCTCGACGATCCAGGATCAAGAATGGAGGATCGAGGATGGAGGATGGAGGACCGAGGATCGAGGATGGAGGATCCCGCTGGACTCCATCCGGCCTCAACCGTGCCGCCATCGGCTGCACGGCTGGTTCGACGCATTCGCACAAGCTTGCCAGGGAGCAGGCCATGTGCACCCCAGGCAGCGGGCACCGCGCCAAGAGCTCGTCGGTGGTCTCCCTGACGGGGCAGCCGTCGCGGCCTGCGTTGCCGTGTCGTGTGGCCTCCGTGGCCGTCTCGGAGAGAGTTCGGCAGAGGCAGTCCCTGAGATCCGACGGAGCGGCGGGATTCGGGCCGTTTTCGGCCTCCAGGGGCCTTCGCCGGGGCTCGGGAGGTCAGGACGAAAGACCGGTTCCGCGGAAGTGGTACGGACCTCAGGGGTCCACGCCCCCCAAAAATTGGAGCAGCCGGATGTCTGGGGAGGCGGTAGCATACGGTTTTTCATTCGGTGCACTGGTCACGTTCAGTACGGGGGGGTCGCCGCCCCCTCCCCCCCTGTCCCCGCACCGGCACCGAGCGTGCGCGGGGGGGTCACCACAGGCACGGCGCGGTGCTCACGGGCATGCAGTAATGCTCACAGGCGTGCTTCGGTGCCCACGCGCCTGCTGTGGCGCTCGCAGGCGCGACCCCCCCTCCCTCCCGTCACGGACGTCGCGGGGGGGGAGGGGCAACAAACACAATCTCTAGTGCTCACTCAGGTTCTGCAAGGGCGGTGAAAGGCGATTGCGTTGATTGGGATGTTGCGGGGGGATTTTAGCCGGGAAGGTTTGGCCTGGGGTTTGGGGTGTCCAGACGAGGATGTGGCCGGGGTGTGGTGGTGGCCTGTGTGGAACAGGTGCATTCGCATACTCACTTTTGCAAGGGGACCCTGCGCGGTCTCCTCCTCGTGTGCGCCACTCCTCGAGCGCCCTATCCCCCATTTTCGCCTCACGCGTTCCCATCATCCTGCGTTCCCGCAAGTTTTTCCTCCATCCGAACTCCAACATCAATTTTAGGTGGGCATAACCGTCGCTGTGTGCTCCACCAATGCCTACACCTGCCCCTCGATACTTCTGCCCTCTCCACTCCTGTATTCTCTGCGGCCCTTCTCTCTGTGACCTGCCGCCATTTAGGCTCAGCCTTTACCCACGCTTCACCCCTTGTCGATACCGTTCTCGCATCGGTACCCCCTTCATATTACCGTACTACTACGAGGCGCGTTCTTGTCTTGCCCTTTTTGTTATATTGATCAGAGCCATCTGCGTGCCTTTGTGAAGCGCGGCCTGCCCCGTGTATGTTGCAAACTGCAGGGCGCGGGCGCGCATGTCACGGCAGGGAGAGAGAGGCACGAGAGGTACGAGCATGAGCAGGGGCTGGCCACCGCTCAGGCTCGCGGCTCGGCGGGAAATGCGCAGTGCGGCGCTTCTCGTGCTGATCTCGGCGACAGTGGTCTTCTGCCGCCAGAGCGCTTCAGGGCGGGGGTCGGGGGGCGAGCGTTCCGTTTCTTGCCTGGTCTTCATTTCATGTTCGACTTTTCCTCTTCCTGTTCGGACTTGCCCTTGCACCACCTGCTTACCTTCTCCCTTCACTCGCGCAGATCGAGCGCACCCAGGCCGTGCACGATGATCTCTTCTGCTGCATGAGCATGTAATCACACAATGGGAGTGGGAGCTGGTCCGACGTGCTACTGGAACTGATGGTTAATCCGGCTCTTGATACCTCAACTTGGCCATGCTTCGAGACAGGCGATCTTCAGCGATGCTTTTTCCAGTGAAGCGATCTCACTTCTGGATGACCTGGGCATGTGCAGAGAGGCGTGTCTCGGTCGTCAGGTGCTCAATTCGGCTTAGGCCGGCCACCAAGGCGCAGCCCGCCCACATGAAAAGGGAGGCGCATCGGGCTCTCGCAGCGATGCTTACGTGTAGTAAATCGAAGAATGCCTAAGCTCAGTTCGTGTGGTTCAGGATCTCTAGTGGCGAGAAGAATTCTATGATAGTCTCGGCTTCCATGGTGTCGATAACAATGGGCCTCCAAGGAATTACGGTTGGTATCGTCTTGCCATGGGGACGACCATCGGGGATGAGAACAACGAGTTTCGTCCCGCGAGCTCGCAATCCAATCGAGTCTCTGAGCATCGAGCTCCCTTGCCTATCAGCTCGCACTCTGACTGCACTTGTGCGTGCCCTCTCAGCTTGTTTCCCGGAAAGGCATCTGCATGAGCCGATCGACTTCAGATGCCCGCCGGGCGAACAGTGATCACGACGGCGAGAGAGGACCGCGCTTGTGAAAGTACCTTCTTGTGCTGGGCAGGGGCGTTCGTGGCAGCAGCGTCATGGAGGAGCTGCTGGAATCGTCGGAGGATGCCGCGGAAGACGACGACGAGGTCTACATGCTCCAGCTGTCGGTCAGCTTCCCCCCCTTCCCAGCCCGGCCTGCCCCGCGGGCAGTGGGAGCTCGCCAGTGCTCCACCTTCACCTCTCGGTGGCTCAGAGATGGGGCCGTGAGGGATGGGGTCCTGAGGAGAGGAAGGGGTTCAGGGGTGGATTTACGCTGTTTGAGGCACCTCGTCCTTAGGACCCCACCCATCAGGACCCCATCTTTCAGCCACCGAACCTCAACTTCTGCAAGGGACACAGGGGTGGATTCACACTGCTTGAGGCACTTCGTCCTTAGGACTCCATCTCTCAGGAGCCCACCTTTGAGCCACCGAACCTCAACCTCTGCAAGGGATCCGGGGGTGGAAGGACACTGCTTCAGGCACCCTTAGGACCCCACGCCTCAGGACCCCATCTTTCAACCACCGAACTTCGGCCTCTGCCACCACCTCCACTTCACACCTCCGAAGCTGCTCTTGGCTCAGGGCTGGTGTCGCCGACGCGGCCCAGCGCCCCACCGCCGTGGTCTTGCCGCAGCGCCGTGGCGCATCAGCGCTGCCTCGGCCGACCGGCACGTGGTCTCGCCGCATCGGCGACGCATCGGCGATGGGCTGGCGGCGTCAGCGTTGCATAGGCGACGTCGGCATTGCGGGTCCAGACCTCTGGGGGTCGACGTTGCGACAAAAATCACGACGTCGGGGGTCTGGGTATGGATCCGCTGGCTCGGCAGACGCGCGCTCGCGTTTCCGAGCGCGCGCCGCGGGAGAAGCATCTCGGCACGTGAGCGGTCCTCCTCCTCCTCCTCCTCCTCCTCCTCCTCCTCCTCCTCCTCCCTCCTCTTCCTCCTCTTCCTCCTCGTCCTCCTCCTCCTGCCTCCTCGTCCTCCTCGTCGTCGTCCTCCTCCTCCTCCTTCTCGGTCGGTCGGTCGTGGCGCAAGAGAGGTCGAAGCGCATTGATAGAGAGCAGAGAGAGAGCCCAATGAGTGAAGAACAAGGGGGCAACAGCACGGGCAGGAACGTAGGGGACCTGCCAGCTGGAGAGCTGGATACTATCGCTAAAGTGGATGGACACTAAGGGGTGGAACATGGAAGGAGAGCCGAGGATGGGAAAAATAAAGGGAGACCTTCCTCAGGCTAGAATCGTTACTCCCCTGACGGGGGCAGCCAGACCCTATGGGCCCCTGGCATCACACAGAGGGTACTGCCTGAGGTTGGCGCGACCGCGAGGATCTGATGTGATTCTGGCATATCCTTCCCCCCTGCGCCCTTCACGATTCAGCACCTAATGCTGCAAGCTCTGCAACTCCAGGCGCAGAAGGAGAAAGATAAGAGGAGTGCTCATCGTCGTGGCGAGCTGTGCGACGCCCGTTCCTGATCTGGAGCATCCAATCCACAGAAAGTCCCGTCGCAAGGTATGGATCCCAGGGGGAGGCAAACCGTCGCAATCCATGAGGAAGGTTCCGGCCGTCGTCCGTCGGGGCAGGTTGGAGCAGCCTTCTGGGAGATCGCTCGTCAGTTCTGCACCAACGGGGGCGAGGGCGAAGGCCCCAGATGGACACCAGGGAGCCCCGTGGGCCTCACATGGGAAGCGCCAAGCATGCACTGGGCAACCCGAGGAAGGCAAACGTTGGGGAGGGCCGTTGAGCGGACCAACTCTGGCAGGTCCCAGGGCGAGGGGGCCTCGGGCGCACGAGGGTTCTTGGCAGGGTGCTCCATGAGAGCAGGTACGCCCTGTATCCACGCCTCACAGAGCGTCCGAACAGTGGTTCTGAGCAGCCGATTGCCGACGGCAATCCGTGCCGCCTCTCGCTCTCTGCGATAACCGAGTCCCCGGATCGAGTCGGGGGTCCTCAGGGGCCCAGAGGGACGGGCCCCAGCAGGGGCCTCATGGGGGCACAGGGAGACACCTGGCCGACGACCATGTTTCGCACGGCGGACCCGCAGCCACAGCAGCAACCCGACGCGAACGGAGAAGGAGGACCCACAAGAAAACAGTTTGATCATTGGTCTCAAATCTCCATGGGCAGCGTGGTTCGCCACGTCGAGACTGAGAACGGTGAGATGTGTTGGAAACTGTGGCAGCAAGAATTCCATATGCCACTGCAGGTCCCCTTGCCTCCCATGTCCCGAGAAGAGATGAAGGACGCACATGGAAGAGCGGATGGGTAGGGAGCGAGGGGGAAGACGGGAGGCACAGGGGCAGGAGCTGGATGGGCCAGTACAGTGTCCAACATGGCGCGTACCTGAATCTTGGTGACCTTGATATTAGGTCCAACTGGGGGGCCATAGCATTGGATGGGCTGGCGTCCAGCAAAGTGGTCTGGCCTACCCTTCGCCCTGTTCTCTGATGTGATGGCTCTGTATTGGCTCCTCGCCTCCATCACCTCCTCTTCCCTCGGCCGCATGCGGGAATGTACCAAGGTGAAACGACAGGAGGGAGAGTAGGCGAGGTTGGACATGAAAGTCCTTCAGGCACACGTGGCCGATCGAAACAGCTGCTAGCATCGTCGGAGCGTCACTGCGCTTGAGTGCCTTACCCATGTGGACCCGAAACTTCTGTTCACTGGGACAAGTAAATGGGCACTGTTCACACCGATATAGTGGGAGCATGGGGGCAGAAACCTGCAAGGGGGTGTCACGCGCACACCGATTCAGCTCCCTCCTCCATGCTTCCCAGTGATTCGCGTCAAGAGCTGCCCTCTTGGCTCTGGCATTCGCTGAAGTCACAAGTGCCTTGAATGCTCTCGGATGGTCGCGCGCAAAGTGCAATACCCCCTGCACCGAAACGTCCTCGGGCCTCTTGTCGAGTTCCGTACGGTAGCACAGCCAAGCAAAATCTTGGGCCAGCAAGGTGGCCCAACCGAGCGGGCACTCCAAAGCAAGACCCACTAGGGCCCGAACTAAGGGAGGGGCAGAACCCATCACGCGTAGCATATAGCGGGGGCGGGCCACAGTCATGACCGCCGCGCATGGGAGCCTCTCGGCCTGGAGCACAACTTGCGCCGAGCTGGCATGTTGCGCAGAATTGTTGGTGGACGAGAGGTCGAGCGCCGTGCGGTTCACCGCCAGGTGTGCAGTGGCCATCTTTTTCTCCGGAGCACTGGTGATCTTGGGGCAAGTACCCACCGCGTAAGTATAGGACCGAGGAGCCCAGGGCCCCCGCAGAGGCAGCCTCGGCACCAAGAGACAGGCGAGGCCGAGGGGCCACAGAGGGACCGGACGAGGTAACCTGAGCCCCGAGAAACCCTTGGGGGAACCAACTTCATCTAAAACCCGAAAAATACATGTTGCACGTTTTTAAGCTGAGTTTCGAGGAAGTGAGAACAGTAGGAAAGGTGAAGCCCCATGTAGCAGAGGAAACGCTACAAACCGAGCGATCAGCAGGCCCGGGGACGCCGCGGGAGCCCGCGCCTCTGACGGTACTGAGAAGCTTCGGCTTGGCGGTGCTAGGGCGCATGCCTATGGGGCAGCGAGGCGACGCGTGCTGATTCGGAAAGAGCGAGAGCAACGTCGGGGAGCTGATGCGGGTGCTTAGCAAAGGCAAGTGCAGTCAAGCCACCAGCAAAGGAAACATCACACTGGGCATCCATCCAATCCTGCCCCACTGCACAAGGCAGCGCAGGTCGAGGAAAGACGCCCCTAACTCCACGCCAACCGGCTTGGTCCTGGACCCGAGTTTCCGAAGGACCGCGGCGACAACCAGATTGATCACGTCCGCGGCCATGACAGCGCCTGGTCGGGTCCTTCCCCTGGAAGAACATGCTGGCGAGCTCCTCTGGCCTGCCGAAAGGTACACCGCTGAGCTTCCCTGATGAATGCAAGCAGTTGCGGATCGCGTACTGCGCCCTCTAGGTCAGTCTTGGTCTCAAGGGCAGCGCTCACTCTCCCCATCCAAGCGTGATGGGAGCTCGATGGGCTCAAGAGCTTCAGCGGGCTTGGCTTCTTCTCCAGGCAATGCCAAGGCGAGCTGCTTGATGGCGCTATAGGGTGCGTCAACTAAATCCAGGGAGATAGTGACCGAGGACATTTTATGGCAAGCAGAGGCACGCGCAGCCATGAACACCCCATGGAGGGCCGCAGATGGCCCCCTGTGGGCCGCCCCCCGCGCTGCCCGGCCAGTAAGCAGACCCTTGGGAAATGCAGTGACAAGTGCTGGCTTGCAAGTAGTGCTGGCCATTGCGAGGTCCCTCTGCGATTCAGCAGCGCAGGTAATGTGCTCGCTGTCTAGAGCGCCATCTTCGATATGCGGGATGTCTAGCAGGGGGTGAGGGTCATTGGCGATCAGCACAGGGCGAATATCGGCGACCTTGTATTTGCCTCCTTTTTCTGCCTCCTGTCGAACGAAGCCGATTGACATGGCGCCGCTGCTGCTTCGGCAGGCGCGCATCAACCGACGCCTGAATGTCACTCGCCACCTTGTCCAGATACCAGGTGCGATCCAGCTCTATGACGCGAGCGAGAACTGGCTGTGATGGGAGGAGATAGTTCAAACATGCATCCGCAAATTCATGCGCATCGATGGTGAAGCGTCGAAAGCCCCCCGCACATTTCACCAGCGGCGAAGCCAGCTGTTTGGCTTGCGCTTCAATGCGAGACAAGCTGGCAGCAGGATCTCCCGCCAGGATTCGCTGAGCGAAGCGATGCAATGCCAGCGTTGGGAGGGGTGGGGGTGGGGGGGGGGCGGAAGCAGAACGAGGCGGCGAACCCTTTCGTGGCGACTGGGTTAGATGCCCCAGGTGAATCCCCCACGCGCGCCGGGAACAGATCGTGCGACGCATCATCGACCTAGGGTAAGTGAAACTTCCTAATAGCCCTGGTAGCTGCCCTTCTCCAAGTGATTAAATCCAAGACAAAAGCTGATATGAAGGGCTTGACTGGACTGCGCGCAGCATAGCCATCGCGTTTAGGGCGGAGATGGAGAGCCGCACGAGCCTCACGGGGCATATGAGAGGTCATTGGGACATCCTTAGACAGGGGGGGGGAAGGGATGGTCAGTTACAATGGAGGCAACGGACGGGGCCCAAGGTAGA